TTTGTTTTAGGCAGGGTTTTAAAATATATTTCATCTGGAGTAAATTTATCATTCCTATGATTTTTTGTTTTTATTAAGTTTGATTTGCAACACTAGAATTTCTTATCTACATTGTAATTCTGGTTTATTTTTCATATATCTATGGGATGGACACATTTTAACTTATTTTCTTTCTCTCTTTCTCCTCTGTGCTTACCTCTTATGTTTAACCAATTTGTGGTCACTGCCACCTGGTCCCTAGTACTTCTAGATCAGAATAAGTTTAATGGCATTTCTGAAGCACCTGCCCCCACTTCAGGATACTGAAATTTAGTAACTAAGCTCAGGAACATCTTGACTTCGTTCCTAGTCAGGAAGCTTTTTCAGCCTACTTTTATCTTCCTAATTATACACTATTTAATGTAACCGTAGCCTCATGTGTTTGGTTTTTGATATGGACACAGCCACAAAAAGCACATTGATATCTATTATAATTGGCATGTCAGAGGTATGCACATGATTCTGTAAGAGTATAGAAGAGGGTCATCAAATATAACCTGTTTCTCCTGAGAACAAGACTGTGGTATAGTTGTTAAGTGTGAATATATCTTTATTTTGTCTTCACTCTTTTTTTAAAAAAAAAATTTAGTTGTAGATGGACACAATTCCTTTATTTATGTTTATGAGGTGCTGAGGATTTAATGGAGTGCCTCACATGTGCTAGGCAAGTTCTATACCACTGAGCTACAACCTTGGTCCCTTGCCTTCACTCTTAAGTGATAGATATTTAACAGGGTGTAAAATTTGAAGTTGACAGTTATTTTACCTGAAAGTATTTTCTCTCAGGAGAAACTACACTGAGAAAATGATAGTGGATCTAAAATATTAGATGTAGAAGTACATTCCAGATAGAACCAATAATATGTTCAAAGACATAGTGCCCAGCAAGAACACAATGCCTTATATTTAGGGAACTGTCCAAAATATGCTTGTAGCAAAGTGTTAATGACTGTCATGAAAATATAGAGTCATACTCATTAAAGAGTATAACATTTTTATCCAGGTTAACAGAAAGTCCCCATTAAGCCATGGAATACTTTCACCAGTAATTGCCTGAGAGACCTCTGAACATCAGACTTAAAATAATAATAATCACAATCACTTCCATGGCAAGAGAGAAGTAAAAACTGTCAGTAGGAGGCTATCACACTTAGAAAAAATAAAATTGCCTGAGAGAAAGCAGGAGCAATAGGGATAAAGAGAAGATAATCTGTCTCTCTTGTATACTATTGGAGACTCTCCATATGGTTTTATTTGGTCAAGGCAGAAAGTGTGTGCATTGGTTCTTCTAAGTGTTTTTAGAAGTGATTCTTATAATTGTATCAGACATGATAATCTGATATTTTTCCTAGATTATATTGCTAATATGCTTAGGTCACATTATATGAATCGGCTAGGCAGGACCATAAATTAAAGCGAACTGGCAGGTAGAGTTGGCTGGGACCCGGCATTAGACATAATCTTTGTGAAAATGAGCACAGAGATAGGTTTTAAAGAGGATTTAAGTCTGAAATGGCAGGTTTAGAATCCAGAGAGATAAGATAATGTCAGGTCATGATCTGAGAAAACAATTAAAAACAATATCATCCCACTTCAAGAAGCAAGGCTTTTCTAGGCAACCTGGCTATAGGAATCTCAGAATAGTTGACATTTAAAATGTTTTTGCAGGAAGGGAATTAGAATCCAGGAAGCCTATCAATAAGTGGAAGAAATTTCAAAAGGAATCAAAGCCAGATACTAACTTGATCCTAGCACAAGCCTCTATAAAGCACCTATCGTCTCTATGACAAAGTAATAAACCAGTACTGCAGAAAGCACTACTTGAAGAAAGGCACATGGGCCTCTAAGTTGAAATTCACAGGAGCTTCAGATTCCTGTTCAGGAATCTCTCATTGGAGACAATTGCTAGAACCCAGATAACTTTAGGTAGGGTTAGTTATTTTTTGTTCATTGCCCTAGCAGAATGATTTGCTCAAGGTGTAACACCATTCCCCTTAGAAACGTTTCTGAAATTCGTGGGAGTAGTCAGGTTATCTCAATGATTAAGGGTTGCTACTTGAATTTAGAGAAGGGACATGAAGAAAATTAAATGAACTATACCTGGAACTCACAGGATTCTTGAATGCCATGCCAAACATACTCATGAGCGAAAAATTTTTTTTTTCTTTTTAATTATTTGAAAAAAGAATCCAACTGGTATTAAGTTATGTGCAAGTATTTTTAAATATAATGAATGTCAGTGCAAAAACTAAATTATAATAAGGTTATATTTAACTTTGTTTAGAGCCTTACCAAGAATCAGTGACTACTTAGAAAAATCACACAACTCAACACTAATGCTGCTCATGACATTTGAGTCACCAGTACCACATACCTGAATCATTTCACATATGTAGCAGCTGCATTCATGGGGCTTTGTGAAATGAAAAAAAAAAAAACACAATAAAACAAATTCTTGATTTCTTTATGAATTCTATTACACTGGATCTTGATAATTTATATTTAATTAGATACTATTTTTAATTTATTTTTCTTTCATTTGTCATTGATTTTTAAAACATTTTACATGGAAGTATTTTGAATATTAATGCACTTTTAATATAAGAAAGTGAGAACATAAAATATTATTAAATGAACTTGAGAAGTAGTAGATAGCTGTAGAGCACTTTTTTATCAATTCCATATTGTCTTTCTGGGCTTGTTGAGATACTAGACTAGTGTGGATAGGATTGTTACTAAGGCTCTGGAATAAACAAAGGAAAATGAGTTGTAATTAAAATGTGTTCAGTTTATGCTATTTTATATGATTGCCTCCAGATATATGGATATAGATTGTGATTTTATGATTTATAAGGGTAATTTGAGCATCTCTAGTTGATGCTACTCTCTGTTTGCCTCCAAGTGCTAACTCCCATTGTCAGGGCCGTCTTACCCAACATTTAGATGATCCTACAGCATATCCTGTTTCTCTGATGTAAAGCTAAGGAGAAATACTAGAGTGTTAAGGAGAGCAAGATATAGTCCATGCTTGTATAATTATGTCAAAATGGATTCCATTGTCATGTATTACTCAAAAGAACCAATAAAAAATATTTTTTTTTTAAAAAAAAGGACTAAGAGAATAGTGTCCAGAGTGTATCAGTTGCCTTTCTTCTAGGTCTCCTTTCACATTTTACCTGAAGATCTATTGTCCTCTAATCAGATGTTTGAATCCTGATTAGCTGTGTGCTTTCCCTGTGGAGGATGAGTCCAATACCTCTGAGGCCCAAAATTGGTCCAAATATAGAGGATGGTGATGCCATATGAGTTTCACCAGGGGTTGAAAAAAGTTGTTCTTCATATTATGAGGAGATGCGGATCTGCTGGTCTGAAAATGGCTCAAGTAAAAAATGAGTGGGCATGGTTTTCAACGTAACTGATGGTGGGTAGAGCTGGGATGAGGGTTCCTATGTGGACTGAGGTTAGTATGGTGTGAACTCGCCCTTCAGACTCAAGGGCGGGGGTTCTCTCCTTATCAGTTTGTCCTGAGGTGATGCAAACGGGAAAAAGCAACTGATTGGACGTGAAAGCTGTCAGTAGTCAGCAGAAATGGAGTCAAACTCTTAGGTAGGTGAATTTGTAGTAAAAGTCAATCACACAAAAATATATAACAAGAATGGCAGCACTCATAAACAAAGAGGAGGAAGAGGAGGAATAGTAGCAGTAGTAGTAGTGATAGTGATATTCAAACTCAAGAGCTAGCAGTCTTCGATCTGTTTTCCAAGTTGTAGTTTATTTGCTAGGATCCCAAGTTCAACACCAGCCTCAGCAACTTGGAAAGGCCCTAACCAACTTATAAAGACCCTGTCTCAAAATAAAAAAAATAAAAAGGGGTGGGGATGTGACTCAGTGGTTAAGCACCCTAGGTTCAATCCCTTATACCCCCAAAAAAAAAAAGAAAAGAAAAAAAAAGTTACTTTTCCCAAATTCACAAATCAGAATTTTACAAATCCTAAATCTGCACATGATGCTCTGAACTTTGACAAAGCTGCAAACTGAGATGACCTGCTCACATCCCCAACACCATGCTTGCTCATCACTTCTCCAGCAAAATTATAAAACTTAAGCCTAGGCTGCTATATACGGTTCATTTTTATTCCCACTTTTTCTATGAAGTTTTTACTACTTTCAAATTACCTTTATAATAAGACTTCTAAGACTATGAACTAAGTAAAATCTCATACATGGAATGTAAAAGGAAACACACTTAATTGTTCTTTCCACTCTTCCCCTTTCTTCCTTATACCTTTTCTCCTCTGATTTCCTTACTGAGTACATGAATCTACTGGTGGAACACTTAATGGTTAATGTTTTGACATATTAATTAATTTTTATGACATTTTGGAGGACATGTCTCATTTCTGGAAAACATGTTTATTTGCATTACGTCAAATTTCCTTATACTTTATCATCATTAGCATTAAGTAGTGCTTGAGCAAATAAGTGAAAAGAAAGAAATATACAAGGAATGCATGTGGACCAGCATGTTTATATGTATAGCATTCAGTTAGTGACACAATATTAGTTTGTTACTTTTCTTTGTTGTTATTCTTAAGATTCTAGGAGTTTTATAAACTTTTAGCCTTTTTTAAATGTTTATGTTTAATAATTTCTTTAGCTCTACTTTGCAAGATGTAAACAAAATATATGTTGAAAAAATATATAGAAATGTTTGAGATATTTGTTTTTCTATTGCATATATCATAAATTTAAAATATTTTTGGTGGATAAAATTATTTTTAAATCTCTACAATTTATGAAAAACAATGTAGTTATACATTGACTATTATATTAGTTATACCTTCTTTTGAAATTTGTTGATTACAAAGAGCAGTAATCTTGAATACAAATATAGTGAGGTGGAGAACAAAGTATCTTGCTCTTTTGAGGAATTATGATGTGCATCTTTTTTGGTCCTTACAGAAAGTGTGGACTACGGGCCAGTGTTTGTACAAGAACCAGATGACATCATTTTCCCAACTGATTCTGATGAGAAGAAGGTAGCATTGAATTGTGAAGTTCGTGGCAACCCAGTTCCCAGCTACAGGTAGATAAAACAATATTTATCATTGCTCGTTAATCTGAAAAAATTCTCATCAATGAGATACACTCCCATGGAGTATCATAATATCTTAGATAATTTATCTTCTTATTTTTTCCTAAGATGGCTTCGGAATGGAACAGAAATAGATTTGGAAAGTGATTACCGCTATAGTTTGATAGATGGCACCTTCATCATAAACAATCCAAATGAAGCAAAGGACTCTGGTCATTATCAGTGTTTAGGAACCAACACCTTTGGAAGTATTCTGAGTAGAGAAGCCACACTTCAGTTTGCCTGTGAGTAAAGTATATGATTTTTTCCTATATGTGGTGTATATACATGTAGTTTTAATTTTTAGCTAAATTAAAGCTTAAGACTGTAAATTTTAAAACACTGCTGAAAACTATGGTAAGGATTAGAACTATGCAAACAATGTACTTTTTCCTGAAGTAGTTTGAATTTCCCAAAAATATTTGCTTTTTACAAATTACTCTGATACATTAGTCTGTGAAGTTAAAATTCTATGTATTAAAGAAGATAAAGTTTTAGAATTCAACTATCTTTTGTAATCTGACTTCTCTACTTTTCAAAAATATCTATTTACTTGCTTTTATTTTTCTACAATGTCATAATCATTATTCTCTATAGACTCTTCCAAGCATAAAATGGCATATTCTAAAAATTCTGCTTAGAATTATATGATCAAAGAAATGTTTCTGAAATGTGAATATTTTAGATTTTTATTATAAAATTCAGTGTGTTAATTTGTGAACTGAATAAATAGTACCATATATAGTTTTGTATATATATGTGTGTATATATGTATATTCATGTTTATATATATATATTCATGTTTATATATATATATATATATATATATATATAAAGTTTTATGTATATATGCACACAGACTCAAACATATGTACATATATGTATATGTGTATGTGTATATATATATATATATATATATATATATATATACATACATACATACATATACATTCATGTGCCACATAACATTTTAATCATTGATAAATTGTGTATATGATGTTCTCATATCACCTTGTGATATCATAGTTTTCTTAGTCTGTATAAGTACACTCTGTGATCTATAATGTTCACAGAATGGCAAACTGTCCTGCTGATGCATTCTACAGGTTACCCCATTGTTCATCAATGCATGTATATATTTGTGTGTTATACAGACATACACACATATATGTATATACATATACATGTGTATATTTATACACATGTATATATATATGTGTGTGTGTGTATATATACATATATATATACATTTAGAGTGTCTATATATAAACATTTAGAAATACAAACATATTCATATATATATATATAGTAATATAAATATTTTTCTAATATAGGTCATATACCTAATTGATTATATTAATTTCTTAGAAACTCTTAAAATATTTCACATTTGAGGAGGCATTGCACCAAAGTGAAGATAGGCTACCAGATTAAAAAAAAAAAAAAAAAAAAAAAAAAACTTTGTTATATCATTCTGTGGAAAGTAATCCTACTTAAATTTAAAATTTTTAAGATTATACAGAGGAAAGGCCAGTAATAATTATATTAATACATGTAATTGTATTGGTTACATTATCATAAAACAATTTTTAAGTTAAAATTACACCCTGAAGAATGCAATAATTTATTTTCTCTAAATATTCTTTCTCAAATATCATTTTTAATTAACCTAGAATCCAGGCACACTGTTAAAGTGTGAAGAAGAAAATAAAAATCAAAGGGTTGATAACAGATATGGTTTGGAGACTACTGAGCTAGGTCCTAGGAAAATCTAAATATTATCTTTTAAAGTAGACATGAATAAGGACTTTAGTTAGGGGCATTTACAAATACAAAAAGTACCAAAATAGCAACCCAAATACATTTCTTTTATTTTAAAAAACAATATGTATTTTATCACAGACCCTATTATTTTTCAGAATGCACCTAGTAAACTACTATAAAAAACAAAAATTCTTTCTAATTGCTCCACTGTTCATCAGCACAGCATTTTCATGACAGATACAGCAAGTACAAAGAATATGGTATATAAATATTAATTGCTTAATCTGATACAAGTATATCAATTAGCATAGCCTACATATTATGTGTTTCTATTTGGATACAGCCAACCATGCCAAGTATTTTTATGCATGCTTTAGAGCAACAGTCTGTTTTCTTTGATGATCAAAATGTCCATTTTGCTGTGATTTCCTAGCCTTCCTGTCTTGAATATTGACAGTTATCAAATACCCATCCACTTTTGGAGCATGCACTCTGGCACCTACACTTACAGATACATAATCAGGCATGGAAAGCTATAATCTATTCAACATAAATCTGTCCTCAGCTTCTTTTAGGACAGTATTTTCATATTTTTAAAGTAAAGATCATGGTCAGCAGTATCTGTGCATCCATTGGTTGGGTCTTGTGACCCTGCGCCTCCATTTCAACCCACCTAACTAAGGGGATGCCTTGGATATGAAGTATTCCCTGAGTTAGGTGTTCCTCAGGGTGTTCCTGGCTGAAGGGGACAGTTGCTTGCTTTCTTTTGTTCGTTCGGTTCTTTTTTTCTTTCTTTGTTCTTGCCATTGTTCTTTTTTTTTAAAAAAATTGTTTTAATTAGTTACACATGACAGTACAATGACCTTGACATATTATACATTTGAATCAGATGGGATATAATATCTCATTTTTCTGAGTATACAGTTTGCAGAATCACATTGGTCAAGCATTCACATATATACACACAATAATAATAATGTCTGTTTCATTCTACTATCCTTCCTATCTCCCCAACCCATCCCCTCCCCTTCCATCACTTCTCTCTACCTAATCTAGGGTAACGTTATTCTTTTTTTTTTTTTTCTCACATCTTCATACATGTATTTTGTATAACAATGAGGGTCTCCTTCCACCATCCATGCAATTCCCTTTCTTCCTCCCTTTCCCTCGAATCCCTCTTTCCTATGTAGAGGTAATCTTCTTCCCATTCTCTTCCTCTCTTCCCCATTTTGAGTCACCCCCCTTATATCAGAGAAGACATTTGGCATTTGTTTTTTGGGGATTGGCTAACTTCACTTAGCATAATCTGCTCTAATGCCATCCATTTCCCTGCAAATGCCATGATCTTGTTATTTTTTAGTGCTGAGTAATATTCCATTGTGTACATATGCCACATTTTTTTTAATCCATTCATCCATTGAAGGGCATCTAGGTTGGATCCACAGTCTAGCTATTGTGAATTGTGCTGCTATATACATTGATGTGGCTGTATCCCTGTAGTATGCTGTTTTTAGGTCTTTGGGGTATAGTCGGAGAAGAGGAATAGCTGGGTCAAATGGGGGTTCCATTCCCAGCTTTCCAAGGAATCTCCATACTGCTTTCCAAATTGGCTGCACCAATTTGCAGTCCCACCAGCAGTGTATGAGTGTACCTTTCCCCCACATCCTAGCCAGCACTTGTTGTTGTTTGTCTTCATCATGGCTGCCATTCTTACTGGAGTGAGATGGTATCTTAGAGTAGTTTTAATTTGCATTTCTCTGATTGTAGAGATGATGAGCATTTTTTTTTCCGTATATTTGTTGATTGATTGTATGTCCTCTTCTGAGAAGTGTCTGCTCAGGTCCTTGGCCCATTTGTTGATTGGGTTATTTAACTAGTAAATGAATTCAGCAAAGTGGCAGGATATAAAATCAACACCCATAAATCAAAGGCATTCCTGTTTATCAGTGAGAAATCCTCTGAAAAGGAAATGAGGAAAACTACCCCATTCACAATATCCTCAAAAAAAAAAAATACTTGGGAATCAACTTAACAAAAGAAGTGAAAGATCTATACAATGAAAACTATAGAACCCTAAAGAGAGAAATAGAAGAAGATCTTAGAAGATGGGATGATCTACCTTGCTCATGGATTGGCAGAATTAATATTATTAAAATGACGATACTACCAAAGCACTATACAGATTCAATGCAATTCTGATCAAAATCCCAATGGCATTCCTCACAGAAATAGAAAAAGCAATTATGAAATTCATCTGGAAAAATAAGAGACCCAGAATAACAAAAGCAATTCTAAGCAGGAAGAGTGAAACAGGTGGTATCACTATACCAGATCTTAAACTATACTACACAGCAATAGTAACAAAAACAGCATGGTACTGGCAATAAAACAGGCTGGTGTACCAATGATACAGAATAGAGGACACAGAGACTAACCCACAAAACTACAACTAAGCATGCACTGGAGAGAGAATAGAATCTTCAACAAATGGTGCTGGGAAAACTGGAAATCCATATGCAACAAAATGAAATTGAATCCCTGTCTCTCACCATGCACAAAAGTTAACTCAAAATGGATCAAGGATCTAGGGATTAAACCAGAGACTCTGTGTCTAATAGAAGAAACAGTAGGCCCTAATCTCCATCACATGGGGCTCGGCCCCAATTTCCTTAATAAGATACCTATAGTGCAAGAATTAAAACCAAGAATCAACAAATGGGATGAATTCAAACTAAAAAATATTTTTCTCAGTAAGAGAAATAATATGTGAGGTGAATAGGGAGTCTACATCCTGGGAACAAATTTTTACCCCTCACACATCAGACAGAGCTCTAATCTCTAGGGTATACAAAGATCTCAAAAAGCTAAACACCAAAAAAAGTAAATAACCCAATCGACAGTTACTTTCATAGGGGCAGGGACGTCTGCCTTGGATTTACTTCCCTACCTAGACTCTATCATGTTTATACTTATAATATTTAAAAAATCAACTCCTTTAAATTTAGCATCTTTTAATTTTTTTAACAGTTAATCATTAGAAAGAATGTAAAAAAAAATGGGTGGTAGAATGAATGAGGACTTTAATTCCCCCTTTTTTACGTCTGGGTTGGAGTGTGGTACTAGAACATTCTGAGAATTAGAGGAATTTGGAGAGTTGGAGACAAGATGAGGTAGAAATTTAGAGAGGAAAAGAAAAAGGGGGGCTGGGGTTGTGGCTCAGAGGTAGAGCACTTGTCTAGCATGTGTGATGCACTGGGTTTGATTCTCAGCACCACATACAAATAAATGAATAAAATAAAGGTCTATCAATAACTAAAAAAATATTTAAAAAAAAAGAAAAAGGGACTTCCAAAAGAGAATAAGAAGAGTCAAAGGTGAATTGAGATTTAATAACCTGATGACAACTTTGCTTTACATCATAATTTTCTTAGGTCCTAGCTTATAGAGAGATGAGAATAGACTCACTATTTATTTTTGATAG